GGGATCAAACCCGAAACCTAGGTATGTGCCCTGGCTGGGAATTGAACCTTTTAGTGCACAGGACAATACTTAATGAACTGAGCCACTCCAAGCCCAATTTGTACTTCTTAATCCCATCACTCTTTTCACCCAGCCTCACAAATGTCCCATCTGGCAACCATCAGTTTGTTCCCTGTATCTCTGAGTCTGTTTCTCCTTTGTTGCTTAATTTTGTTCTTTAGATCCCACGTGTAAGTGAAATCATATGGTATTTTTCTTTCTCTGACTGGCTTATTTCACTTAGCGTAATACCCTTTAGGTCCAGCAAATGGTAAGATTTTATTCTTTTTTATGTCTCCGTAATATTCCATTGTATATGTGTACCACTTCTTCATCCAATCATCTATTGATGGGCACTTAGGTAGCTTTCATAGCTTGGCTATTGTAAATAATGCTGCAATGAACATAGGGGTGCATATATCTTTTCAAATGAGTGTTTTAGATTTCTTCAGATAAATACACAGAAGTGGAATTGTTGGATCATCAAGTAGCTTTCTTTTTAATTTTTTGAGAAACTTTCACACTGTTTCCCATAGCGGCTGCAACAATTTGCAATCTTACAAATTGTGCATGAAGTTTCCCTTTTCTCCATATTCTTGGCAACACTTGTTTGTTGATTTATTGATGATAGCCATTCTGACAAGAGTGAAGTGAAATCTCATTGTGGTTTTAATATGCACTTCTCTAGTGATTAGTGATGTTGAGCATCCGTTTATCTATCTGTATGTCCTCTTTGGAGAAATGTCTATTTAATTATTTAATTTGTATTGTTTGGTGTTTTTTGGTGTTAAGCTGTATGAATTCTTTATAAATTTTGTATATTAACCTCATATTGGATGTATCATTGGCAAATATCCCAATCAGTAGGTTGTCTTTTTGTTTGTTGATTGTTTCCTTTGCTGTGTAAAAACTTTTTAGTTTGTTGTAGTCTCATTTGTTTATTTTCTTCTTTTGTTTCCCTTGCCCAAGGAGATATATCAGGAACAATATTACTAGGAGCAATGTCAGAGGCTTTACTTTGTGTGTTGTCTTCTGGGAGTATTATGGTTTTGGGTCTTACCTTTAAGTCTTTAATCCATTTTGAGTTTATTCTTGAATATGGTGTAAGAAGGTGGTCTAGTTTCTTTTTTTTTTTTTTTTTTTTTTGCACGTATCTGTCCAGTTTTCCCATGCTATTTATTGAGTAGACTTTATTTACCCAGTTATATATTATTGCATCCTTTGTTAGAGATTAACTCACCATGCAGGCATGGGTTTGTTTCTGGGACTTCTATTGTGTTTCATTGATCTATGGGCCTGCTATTATGTCAGTACCATGTTGTTTTGATTACCATGGCCTTGTAGTATAGTTTCATATCAGGTATTGTGATACTTCTAACTTTGTTCTTTCTCAAGATTGCTGTGGCTTATTCAGGTCTTTTGTAGTTCCATATAAATTTTAGAATTATTTGTTCTAGTTCTGTGAAAAATGCCATTGATATTTTGATTGGGATTGCATTGAATCTGTAGATGGCTTTGGGTAGTATGGGAATTTTAATGTTGTTAATTCTTCCTATCCATGAGCACGAAATATGCTTCCCTTTATTTCTATCTTCTTCAACTTTCTTTCTTTCTTTCTTTCTTTCTTTCTTTCTTTCTTTCTTTCTTTCTTTCTTTCTTTCTTTCTTTCTTTCTTTCTTTCTTTCTTTCTT